TTTTCCTCCAGGCCCTAAAATTCCTTCTCAAGCTGAGTTTCTTCTCTTTCTTTTTTCATAGTAGTTTGGGGATTGTAGTGAAATTGAACAGAATATACACAGAGTTCTCATATATTTCCATCCCTCCCCTCTTCTTCCCCGCCAAAGTAGTGCCTTTGTTAAAATCAGCAAACCTGCACTGATCCATCCTCATTGCTCAGCACCCATAGCTTGCATTAGGGTTCACTTTTGGCCTTGTACGTCACACAGGTTTTGACCCATGTATAGTGGCATGTGTCCGCCATGATGGTATCATACAGAGCACTCAATCGTCCTAGGAATGTGGGCTTCTATATTATCCTGTTGCCTCTTGTTTTTGAGGACATGAGTGTGAGTGGAACTGGGTTAGGTAGGCTTGCGAATAAGTCACCTCATACTCCACCCCTGGAGATTTGGACCTCCTATCTGGAGGAGTTCAAGGTCTCTTATTTCTCGTGGTATTTTCACCTTCATGGCTCCCACGGTTTTCTCTTCTTCATTCATGCACTCAGCAGATGTATACGAAGCACCCACTGTGTGTTGGCCGGCACAAGTACTGGATCTTTTGGGTAGAGATGCAACACAGATAGTTTTCTTAGCTGATTCTGGTGATTCTCTGTACCTCTGCCCAGATGCGACCCCAGCCTAGGAGTAAGCTGTCAGCATCCCTTCCCTCACTGACCACATAGGGTACTGGTAGAACTGATTTTATGGGGTTAGCGGAGGGCAAAAGAGGCCATATATGCAAATCTTTGCACAGCACCTGCTGCACAGTACCTCCTGGCCTGTAGAGAGCTGGAAAGTGGTGCTTAGGCAGCTATCCAACAACTCTAGGAGTAAGAGCAATAACCCCGGCCACGAGCACGCACCCAGTCTGACTACCTGCTCTGGCCTGTCCTGGCCCTTCATACACATTAACTCATCCCACGGGGAGTGCGTGTGAGCCCTGCTTATGTGCAAGTTGATGCAGCTCAGACACAGTGAGTGACTTCCCCAGGCCACACAGCTAGGAAGTGTTCAAGGCAGGACTTGGGCCAGACCACTGGGCCCTGACTCCAGCTCTTAGCTGTGATGTTGGGCTACATCCCTCTTCTTGGTTCCCCAAACTTGAAGAACTCGGTCAATGTTAAATGCAAACTCAAATTCAGTGATGGCTCCTTCACTCATCACAGACCCACAAGATCATGGCTGGTCAGGGTAAAGCCCTGTTAGAGACACATAGATGCCCGGGTAAGGTCACTGCGCTAAAGACAGACATCAAATCACACAGGGCTAAAACTGGAACCAACTGTGGCTTTGAGGAGCAGGAGACAGCAAAGCCACCTGATAGAGAGGAGGCTTAGGCTGAGAATGGGGAACAGAGAGAAGGAACAAGGAGGGCATACGGGGGTAGGGAGGTAGCTGGGGGGCACAGGGAGAGATCTGGAACATTAGATTTAAAACTGCGGACTTTGGGCTGGGTATGTAACCCAGTGGTATAACAATCGCCTAGCATGCCCAAGGCTCAGGGCTTGATAAATGTACACACACACACACACACACACACACACACACGCAAAAAAAAAAAACTCACATAGGTGAATTTCATTTTGCTGACAGCAGGAGAATTCAGAGAAAGGGTGACACGGTTGGAGCCCTGGCTCAAGGCGTTTGCTCTGGAGGTGCTGTGGGAGTCAAGCCGAAGGAGGAAGACAAGCAGAAGCAGAAAGACCTGCCAGGGGTCAGTGACAGGTTGGCAAAAGGGCTAGGACCCGTGGCTTAACAACTCTGCCCTGCCTTGTAATCTTGATGCCAAATGTTGCCACCTGTTTCCAAACATGAGCATGTGTAGAATGGGCATAGAAGCAGTCGAATTCCTTGTACGCAGTGTGCCAGATGATAGCTATTGCCCTCTTCCCAGTTTTTCTGTATGGTACAAAAGATTTTTCAGGCAGTTAGATATAAAGATTTTTATATTTTAAAAAGTAGATTTCTTTCTATCTTTTAAAAATAAAAGTGTTTTCTTTTCTAGCCCAAATGGCAGCATCTAATTAAGTCGCGGTCAGTGTGCTGCAGTGACTGGGAAAGTCCCCTGGTAACCCAGGCAACCCAAAGGCAGGGGCCTCTATGTTCTCCAGGCCTGGCCCAAAAGACAGCCACCCTTGGCTGGGTCTCCCACCGGATTAGTCTGAGGAGCCCGCTGGTCCCAGACAAGCTGTTATTGGGGTTGGCGGAGCCTTTTTCTCTTGCTCTCTCTGTTCCCAACATCCTTTCACTCCCGGGCATCGTCCTCCCCGCTCTGGCAATCCCACACTTCGTGTGTTCTAGTGAAACACCGAGGACACGCAGAGAAGTGCGGTATGCAATGCTTTAATCCGCTCTCTTGCCACTCCCGACCTCCGCCGAAGAAACGTACACTCTGCCTTATTTTCTCCAAGCTCAGTCCCTTCGCCTATCAGTTCTCTCACCCAAGCACACCTGGAAAATCTGCCTCAGCTGAGACGGCCATGGCAAGGCTGCCGAGATGGACAGGCCCTCAACGTGGCCACGGTCCCGGGTGATGCCAAGCAAGGACCCAAGCGGTGAGAAGCCTGCGGAGGTGAACCAGGGCGCCGGAAGGTATGCAGGCCGAGGAGCAAAGAGCACCGAGCAGGAAGGCTCTGGAGAGGAGGTGATGACTGAGACAGGGCTCCATATCTCACCGCGAGGACAAGGAAGTCGCCGCTGAGAGGGAAAGACCTGAGAGCGGTAAAGCAGGACACACCTGGGTTAAAGCAAGCAGCGCAGTTGACGGATGCAGCTTCTCTGAGAAGCTCGCAACACGTTCCCAAAGCACTTCGGGGGCTGCACATCCGAGACGCACCAGGTCTTCATTCCTCTCCAGTCTTGCGTCCCACGGTCTGTTCCCTTTACTTTCCTGGGGTTGACCTGTTTCCCAACCTCCACCTGCTCCCTGTCTGGACTGTGTCCTACCACCGCCCAGCCCCAGAGCGTTCTGCGGTAGAGAGGAAAAAATCTACTGTCTCAAAAATGCCTGAGTGTGTGCTAGGCACGAAGACCAGAAGACTTGTCACATAATGCTTGCGGTGACGGGAAGGAGGGAGGTGCCTGGTGCTGTACTAAATCTGTGTTTGGATTATTAAAACAAAAGAATGGAAAAGCACAAGGTCCCGAGTTCGATCCCCGGAACCAATAAAAAAGAAAAGAAAAGAGGTTTATTTCCGCTCGTAGTTTTGGAGGCCCGAGATCCAGGGCCCCTGGTGTGGTGGGAATGTGTGTTTATCTCTGTGTCAGTGTTGTCTCTGTCCCTCTCCTTTTAAGTGGCCAGGATTGAAAAATGGGGCTCCACCCTGACAACCCGATCTGATAGCATCACTTCCCAAAGGTCTTCCCTAACTCAATAGTGAGATTCCATCTCTGCCCTCTTAATGAATGAGCATAGACTCTGGAGATTAAACTCCTGCCTTTGTCCAAGGGAACAAACCGTATTCAGACACAGCAGAAGACAGTGGAGACCATGGCCAAGTAGCCTGGCTTCTCCTGCCCAGCAGAGGGCCAATCTCTGGGCTGAACACCATCGGGAGGAGCAGATCTCTGTGTGGACCCCACAAGGGTGGGGAACTGGTGTGAGATGAGAAGGAACCAGGGCAGCAAGAAGACAGAGGGAGGTGCTGTTACATCATTTCCAGCAAGTCAGACTGAGGACTGCCCAGGACAATGTCTGAGCTGACCGGCACCCATGAGCCTGGACTCCAAGTATCTGCAGTGTGCGTTGATCATTCAGCGGTGCAGTATCCCAGCTGCAGAGTGGGTATTTGCTCAAATGTGCACAGATCTGAGCAGCAGCACTGCAGGGAGAGCCACCCCTGTCATCGAGGGGTCCAGGAGTGAAGAGTTCTAGATCTACAGGGTTGGGAGTAAGCGGCACTGTGTCATTCTGCCGGCTGCACACAGTTCTCCAGTTCTCCAGAAGTTTACAGGGACCCAGGAAAGCAAAAGACCACACCATCATTTGCTGACCCCCAGGGCATCAAAAGCAAAGAGATCACATGCCTGAGCCACATGCACTAGCTATGGAGTAGACCAGGAGTGGTGAACAGAGACTTCTGTGACAAGCTGTCGTTCGTCTCTTCTGAAAACATTTTGTATCGGGTCAAATTTCTACACATATGGTATGTGTGTTTTTACATTTTTTATGATAATAGAATATTGCATCCTCATTGGAAAATACAAAAAGTTAACAGGCAAACATAGAATCACCGAGCTACATGGGGAAGGGATACACACCTGAAATCTCAGGACTCTGGGAGGCTGAGGCAAGAGGATCACAAATGCAAAGTTAGCCTAGGAAATAACCAGTTTAGGAAAGTCCTGTCTCAAAATGTCTTTTTAAAGGACTCAGGCTGTAGCTCAGTGAGAAAGCCCTGAATCCCAACCCTACTATCACACACACACACACACACACACACACACACACATCACTGACATGACCACTATCCAGTATCAGTTTGCTCTGCCTTTTGGTTTATTACCTTCCCTTTTGCTCATTTACTGTGTATCACATGAACACATTTATTAAATTTGTACTACATTGGAGCTGGCAGTGGGGACACAGGAGATTAGGGTATGATACAGCTGGCTGGAGAAGTGGGTGTGACCCGTTAATCACAAGATCCCAGACACCTGCCTCAAACAGCACCCAAAGCCCTGCACTTCTCTGGAGTGGGTGTGGACTTCTCTCAAGAACTCCAGCAGGGTTTCAGTCGGATGCCCACACCTGACCTCAGCCTGAGGTGTGGAGCCCAACACCTCTCAGGACCCGGATGTAGAAGTTATCCTGGGTTTCCTCGAGGTTCGGACAGCATAAAAGGACACAGACACCAGAAAATTTTGCTGTCCTAGTTTTCCTTGTAACAGCTTGCCCTGCTTCCTCTAGAGTATACTTTTATCTTGTTTTTTCCTCTTGCTTGGCCCAAGCTTGCTCTGCTGAGCCTTTCTTCTTACTCCACTTTTACTTTTTCAAACAAACTTTGCCACGGCTCTTTGCTCATTTCATTCATGTCTTTGTTCTGGAGGAGAACAATCTGGAGTATAACTCCAGAAGGGAAGGCGAGCAATCCAAAGTCAAATAACATTTATTTGGCAAGCCACTTTAAGAAGGAGCTACCCAATAAATAACATTTTTGGTGTAGGAATTCAAAAGCCAGGAGATTCCAACAACTATGGTGTAAGCCTGTAATCCCAGCACTCAGGAGGCTGAGGAGGAGGATCACCATAAGTTCAAGGCCAGTCTGAACTACATAGTGAGACCCTGTTTCAAAAAAGCCAAATAATTAATTAATTTGTATAATGTTTCAAACAACTGAATTGTACAATAGCTTTATAGCCTATATAGTATTTTTTCACTTATTGTTGACACTTTTCCTGTATTATTACTCTTTGAAGACATTTCCTTTCATTTAAATGTAGGGATTTATTCTTTTTGATGTACAGCTGAGAGTGATGAAAATATACATATTCATGTACTAACCCGCCACAATCGAGATACAGAACAGACCCATACTTCCTCTCCCCATCCCTCTTACTTGACCCCTCTGCCTTGTCCTGACACCTGCTCGTCTCTTCCCCAGCAGCACCCACGCCTGCTCTCTTTCCTGCAGCTCTGCCCCTCCCAAAAGGCCCTACACACGGGGCCGTGTGGTACTCAGCCAGTTGGTCTGGCTTCTCCCCCTTAGCAGAATGATTTGAGTTTCATCCGTATTGCTGCAGACATTATCAAGAGTTAATCACTTTTTACTGCTGAGCACTGTTCCATGGTGGAGATGTACACGGTTAATTCATTTATTCCCCAGTTCAAGGCCATTAGTGGTGCTAAGCATTATTGTTACTTGTTAGATGACAGTCCATCCTACAGATATACCAAAGCTTAGGCAAGCAGGTCTAAGCAGTTCCAATAAATATGTAAATAGTATTGGACATTTGGATCATGCCCTTACCGTAAGTAGCCTTTAAATAAATCTCTTTACATGTAGCATTTGCATATCTGATATATACATATGTGTATATTATATGGTATACATATATCTCAAGCTAGCAGCAAGCCTGCATCATGCACTTCCTGAGCTATAGAAAAATACTGAAAATACAAAACACTGTTCTATTAGAATGCTCTAAATATTTGTATAAGATTATTGCAATCAATGGGGGGGGTCCTCAAGAATTGGCACCATTGTAAAAATAAGAAAATCAAAAATTGCCTTAATTTTAAGGCCGCAGATTTAACCTGCTAAGCAGGACTAAATTGATTTGTTTCCAGAATTCTGAGCATGAAAGTCACTGAAAAATGATCTCGACATCATTTTCCCAGAAAGAAGTATCTCTGGAGAACAGGATTCTTGGCAAATGCAGAGCAGGACCAAAGACTGAGCACAGGTGGGTGTGGCTGACAGCTGCTAAAACAGTCACGCTTCTAGTTACATTTGGGAGTCTGAAGCCAAAGCCACCAACAGAGGCAGGATGAGGGCGGCACTCTGCCCTGTAAAATGAGACAGGGCTCCTCTTTCAGTAGATGCTGCTGACCTGAAAATTAACCAGGAAATAGAAAAATGTCAGAAACGGCCTGTGGCACCGCCTCTCCAAAATACACACGTGCACAGTAGATCAATGTCAACCAGGGCAGAAAGTTATATGGTTTCTGAATCTCTCCATTTCTGCTTTTCAGAGAGAATCCCCACTGATGATTAGGGTTGTCCCTCCAGGAAGGAGACAGACAGACAGACAGACAGACACACATCTTTTTATTTAAGCGCATGAAATCTGCAGCTTGCTTTCCTCACCTAGCACCATCTTGGATGTACTTCCTCATTGGCACGCATAGAGTCGATGCATTCTGCCCTGCAGATGAATGTTCTTACCGAACGCGTGTACCAGCGTTAGCCATGGTCCTTCACGATGCACATTACAGCACCAGCGTTCCGCTAATGAGGACCACCCAGTCCTGACATACGTGCACCTTCAGGGAGGGCCTGCTCAAAATTCAACCCTGTTTATAGCAAAGAGCATCTGGCCCTGGATTTTTTTTTTTTAACAGAAATTACTGAATTCTGTTAAGCCAATTGAAACATAAATTTTTCAAGTCATGAAACCATCTAATGTTAGACTGAAAATAAATCCGATGGGCTGGAAGAGTGGCTTTAAAAATTCCTGAGTGTGTTTGGAGTTGGTGGCCTCTCGCAGAAGGAATCTTGCCCACAAGCTTGTGTTATGGCTCCTCCTGCTGGCCATTTTCTATGATTACACTTTAGTTCAGTTAGTCCCAGACCTGGTTCACTAATTTTGCTTTGAAATAGCTACTTACTATAAGGATATATTTATTTATTAAGAAGGATACAATAATGTAGAACTAAACACAGTAATAATGAGAGTCTCCTGTTAGCTTTTTCCATTCATCCCAGAAGTAACCACTGTTAGCAGGCTGAAGTTTACCTTCTCAGACCTATTTGTGACATTTATGTCCATCCAAATAGAAATGCCTATGTTCATGATCTGAATGTCCCTTTGTCAAACTTTAGCAATAAGCTTTTCTCGTTGAGACGACGTTATATTTGGGGTCAGTTTTATGCACCATTTGTGGTTATTCTGGATTTTAAAATTAATTATTGCTATTAAAATCATAAATTCAAGTCTGCTTTTCGGATACAACATTTATTTTTAAATTATGAATTGTGTTGCTCTAGTTAAGAACCTGCTGAGCTCTGACAACTTTTTTTTTTCCTACTAGCAGAGATTGAACCCACAGGTTTCTTCACACTAATACATCACCAGACTTTTTTTAAAATGTATTGTTTTAGGACAAGGTCTCACTGAATTGCCCAAACTGGACTTGAACTTGTGGTCCTCCTGCCTCAGCCTCCCAGAGTGCAGGGTGACAGGAGGGCATTTCTATACCTGTGTTTAATATCCTTGAATGTTTTTAGCTCAAGTTATTTGAGGTTAAAATACGTAAACGTAAGTTTTACAATATGACGTTTTCTTTTTACAAATATTGTAGCTCTCCCTAAATAGGCACAGTGTTCTGAAATACTCATTTCTAGTAAATTTGCAGTTCAGGCCCTCGGTGTCTGAAAGGTTTGCCTGCGCCTGCTCTGGCCAATCTGGGGGGACTGAAGGGGTCCCTTCATCTCTCCGAGCCCCAGTGTTGCTGTTGAGGAGCCCGTGGCCCACCTTCTGGGAAGGTGGCCGAACAAGGCGATGGTGACAGCGGGCCCACCTTCGTCCACTCGTGTCCCGAGCAGGGCCTCTCTCCCCTGGGGATGGCGCTGTAGACAGCAATGTGATTCACAGGAAGGACCTGCGGGAGGCCTACCCAGGAAGGGAGGAAACCGGCCTTGGGAGGCTCCCGCTCCATGGGCATCCGTCCCCCACAACCCGAGACAACCTCACTGCCCCCCTCGCTCCCCAACTGAGGAGCAGATACCAAGTGTCAGTGCCCTTCAGTAAGGGAAAGAAAAGAGATCTGAATCCAGCAAACATCTACTTACGAGGAGAAGGCACAGTCGGGGTGGGTGCCGTGATCCACGCACATCAGGAGCTTCACTGGTCTACAGAAAGAAAGTCACGGATTTGTGAGTTTGGTTTTGATTTGGTTTTTGAGACAGGGTCTCACTATGTTGTTCAGGTTGGCCTTGAACTCTGTATGTGGACCGGGCTGGTCTGGAACCCGAAGTCCCGGCTACTCAGAGGCTGAGGCAGGAGGACTGCTTGAACCCAGGACTTGAGAACAGCCAGGGCAGCATAGTGAGACCCTGTCTCACCAAAAACACATCAACAAAACCCCAGAATCTTAGCACATTTAAAGAAAGACAATTCTTACTCTACAACCGCTCAGAGACGAAAACAGTGTGGCTAAACGTTCCCATAGTCACCAGAGACCCGAGATCTCTCCGGGGAGGTGTGTCCTGCAGGTCACTGGGCCAATCTGCAGCGACTGGGCCAGAGCCTAAGGTCTCCCTCCACCTCCCCACTGTCCCAGTCCCAGCACCCCTGCCCCCCAGCTCCCCTGGGTCCTCCTCCCTCTTCACTGCCCTTGGCCCTTGCTGTGGAAAGGTGGTTACCACACTGCTCCTGAGCAGAGTACAAGGTGACAAGGCCTGGCTTCCACGCCTCCTGATTGGTTTCCTTTGCTGAGTCAGCCTGAGTACTCACGAAACGCAAGGCCTTCTATGGGCATAAAACAATTAACAGCTGCTCTGCCTCTCTGTCTGTCTGTCTGTCAGTCTGTCTGATCAATCATCCACAAGAGGGGTGGAAGGATCACTTGTGCCCAGGAGATTGACACCAGCCTGAGTTGGTCCAGTGCGAATCAGTCTCAAAGCAAAAGCAAAAAGCAAATACAAAAATAAAAGCCAACCAAAAATAGTATCTGTCTAGCAAACTTTCCTGGGAAAGTCTGGACTAGTGGACAGAGGAAGCGTGTTGTAAGCCATACAATAAATACCAGCTAGTTTTGTTTTGTTTTTTGAGATAGGGTTTCGCTGTACAGCCCAAGCCAGCCTTGAACTCATGATCCTCCTGCCTCAGCCTCCCGGTGCTGGGATCACAGGTGTGTGCCGCCACGCTTGGCTATGGTCTGACTCTTGATCTGAGTGCTGGATGCACGTTGGATTTGTGACTATTCCTCCAACTGGATACTTTGGTTTGTGGATTTTCCTGTGCATAGGTTTTGTTTTCTAAGAAAAGTGTATTTACTTAGTTTTGTTTTTCCAGAAGGGGTGATAACACCTAATGTTTGAGTTCCCTAAGAGCACCGGCACTGATATATGAGTGAAGTGGTACAGAAGACAGAACAGATACGTGGGCTCTGCTTAGCCAGCAGCATAATGGAGCCCTTGGAGCCGCGAGGAGGGAAGGCAGGGCGAGTGACTAGGTGGTTTCCACACAGACACACCAGCAAGCACTCAGGACAGCTGCTGAGTCCTCGCAGTATTGGTCTCTGGGCCTGCACACGGAGGGGCTGAGAGAGAGGACAGGGACAGGATTCTGGGCCCAGGAAGGGCTCACAGCCACCCCAGGGATAGCCAAGCTTTCTTGATGTCCAAGAAGCAGGAAGGCCCTCCACTGACACCCGAGTCTCAGAATACAAAGTGTGCGGTAAACGCAGCTGTGATATCTTCTTACTGGTTTATGGTCCCCTTGCATCTGTCTGCCCTCTCTCAAACTCCTACCTCAGGGCCTGTCCTAGGCGAGGACCCCACAGGGACTCATTGCTGTTTTCTGGCTGCTCCACAGCAAGCAAGATGAGGAGACCGACTTAGGCAAAGATGAAGTTCTGCTCTGCCTGTCCTTTGCCTGCCTTTGAAGTGGACTCTGAAGAAGGCTGGACCCAGGCAGAAGCACTGGCCGGCGGGTTCTCCCTGCCCACCCCTCTGTGGGTCTCCGGAGAGCTCAGCGGCACAGTTGCCTGGCGGAACCCTTCCAGCACCCCGTCATCGCCCCATTGCTGGTCACCTACGTGTGATCGTTAACACAGCTGTGCCGGAAGCCCAGGGCCTCCAGTCTGTCTTCCAGGATCTTCACGCTGCCCTCTCCGCAGGACTCCCTAAAACAGAACGCATTTCCAACCATCAATAAACAAAAGAAGAGGACGCAGGAGAGGAAAACCCTGATTCTACTCGACTGAAATTTCATAAGAACATCCGCTCCTGACACCCTTCTCTTAGAGGGAACGTGGGAAAGTCTGTGGTTCAACAGTGCTGCGTCCAGTTAACTGACAGCAGCCGAGGGCGCGGGCTGCTCTCCCTCTGCAGTCTGCCAAGTGTAGTGATTACCCAGCCCAGAAACACAGGTCCGAGATGGGACCCAAGGGGGTGCATGAACGGGTCACCAAAGACCTTGTCCAACCCACAGCATATTAACTTTAAATTTTAGGTAACAACAAATACATACACTCCTTTAAGTATTAGAAAATGAAAAGAAAAAAAAAAACACCCGAAATCTCACATCCCACGCCCCTAGAGACATCTGCTGCTGACAATTTTCACTCACGCTGGTACCCATTACCCATGCTTTTGCCGTCATGATTTTTGTTATCCATAGTTAACCTGGGCCCAGAAATAGCAAGTGGAAAACCCCCAAGGTAAGTGATTTGTCAGCCTAGACTGCGTGATGAAATCTCTCACTGTCCCCTTCCCCAGGACAGGAATCAACACTGGGTCATCAGCAACTCCGCACTGTGTGCGCCACCTGTTGGTCAGTCACCGAATGGCCATCTTGGTGAGCCGATGGCCCGTCGTGGATGGCAGTCCCTGAGTTTAGCTAATCCTCTTTCTATCAATCAGTAATGGCCCCACAGCACAAGAGGAGCGGTGCTGGAAATTTGGATATGCCCAGAGAAGCTGCACTGTGCTTCCTTGAAGTACACTGGTGAAGGGTTTATTTATTTACCTTTCTTTTTTATTGAATTTATTTGGTACTTTTTAGGTATACAGTGCAGTTACATTCATCATTGGGATCTTGTACCTTTGCATGACACATCTTGGTTTTCATTTTTTCCCCATTCCCCTACCCTCCGTGGTGAAGGTTTTAGACTTCCTTAGAGAAAAAAAAATCATAAGCTGAGGTTGCTCAGTGCTGTGGGAAGAGAATATCTATCCATGAGAGTGTGGAAAAGGGAAGAGAAATGTATGTTGGCTTTGCTGTCGCTCCTTCAGCTGCAAAAGTTGCGGCCACGATGAAGGATTAATCATTTTATCTCACCGTGTAGGCATGAGTACAGTTCAGTGAGACATTTTGAGAGGGAACACATTCATATCATTTGTTTCACAGTGTATTATTATTGTTGTTCCATTTTATTACCAATTATTATTGTCAAGCTCTTATTATACCTACCCTGTAAGTTAAACTTTATTATAGCTATGTATGGTTAGGGAAAAATGTAGCCTGTGTGGGGTTTAGTATTTGCTGCAGTCTTCGGGGAAGGCTTGGGGTCAGATTCCCAGGGAAGGTGGCTACTGTGTATGCTTCTAGGCTTTTTAAACATATGCACTCCCATGAGGATTTTCAGATACAGCCATGGCACTCTGGTGTCCGGTGTGTTTTGTTTGCTGCTATCACATACACACACATCTTCCCCTGCCAGTATCACTCATCCCTGCATGGTCTCCCTGACATAAACAAATCCTAACTCAAAACAAATTCCTTCCAGAGAAGACCTGATTGATTCTTACATTTCAGTGCAGTTTATACTCCACTCCAACAGACCTGGTTGAAAATTCATTGTCACCCACCTTCTGAAGCATTTGGTTCCTTGGCCTAAATTCCTACAAACAGGTTTTCTGGTACCAAGGTTTTGCATCCATTTTCAGGTTCTCCCTAAGTACTGCCGAGTTACACTCTGAATGATCATGGGCCCGTGCATTTCCCACACTCTCGCCAATAGATTCTTGATGCCATAGGTAAGCAGAGAACACTGATAAAGGCATTCAGTGGCCAAAAGGCACGGTCATGCCATACGGTGCCCTGCCTGAGTTTATGCGGGCCAGAAGGTAAACAGCCTCCCTGTTATAAAACTGACAGGTGGTGTACAGAGAGGAGATGAGTAATTGGAAGAGGTTTCCACAGAAGTTGGAAGCCAGGCATTACCAGAAAAAAGCAGATAGTGTTCAGAGGCATCATCTTTTAGAATTTTGCCAAAATCTGGGATGGGGGCCCAGAAAACATTTTTTTTCTCAGTAAGCAGTAACAAGGAGGCCCCAGGGTGCCTAGACCCAGGGAAGAGGGCATTGTTATTTTCCAGTTTCTTTGAATAAAGGCAGCCAAAGCCCTGCTAAATGCAATCAGACATGAATCACATTGCTTTTAGCTCACTAGCCGTGATTTTAAAAAATAATAATAACAAATTACCTGGCATATACCTGAGGCTTAATCACTGTTATCAGATACAGGTAGATAGTAAAATAGTTACCGCAATGAAACAGATTAACAGACCTGTCATTTCATATAGTTACTTTTTATAACAAGAACAGCTAACATCTATTTAGCAGTAATCCCTAATAGGATACAATTTTATTGACTACAATGTTTCCATTATTCCTAAAATCTGAGAAGTCCACACCCCTACTTTCTTGGCTCATGACCTACATCTTTAGTCTTGTTTGTGGCTCGAATTTACAAGCAGGTGTTCTGCCCCCTCCCTTTGGTAACTTCTCCCGCAGCAGAAGGGCTGAGCTAAGATGACGATGAAGGACAGTGTCCTAATCTCACAGAGGGAGTGTCAAAGAGCAAACTTTAACAGATCTGTTAAAGGAACAGGCAAGCAGAACTTCTAGACAAAGCAGCAGCTTCTCACACACACACAAAAATAATAAGAATACCACCATGCATGTTTCACACAGCGGTAAGTATAATTTGCCTTCAGGAAAGGGAAATGCTGACTTCAGTGTAACCTGGGTAATATCTAGTTTGCAAATTTATTGCAGTCTGCTGCCCGAGAGCTAAGGTATAGCAATGCCCATTTTATGGTGAGCCGTAGAGGGGGCGGGAAGCAGAATTTGCTGACGTTCTCTTGGGGGACACACACGTTTGACGGCACATCCGCTGCTCCTTGGGTTGGGCAAGTCTATCCTCCACGTAACATCCGTGCTCTGAAGAACAAGGCTTCAGCTTGCCTCTGAAGCCCCATATGGCTACTGTAGGCTGAGGCCTCACTGAAACATTACCGAACCAGGCAGGTTTAGCTTAATTTGTCTTGAGTTTGTGCCTGGAGCGCCCTCTATTGGTCAGACATAGGAGTTCGCGTTCCATTTATAAATAAACTCAAGATGTTGCCCAGTAAAATGTGAATCTTAAAACTTTTTTACTGTGTTATCTAAGACCCAGTGATGGAGCTGGTTGTTCTCTGAGTATAAAATCTACATCCCGGAGTCCCTGGGTTATTTCTGAAGACCCTGGTGAGGGCTTTTGGGTTGCGAACGACCAGAAAGAGAAACTGGCTTTAAACCTCACATACACATAAGGAACTCACCTATCCAGAACTGCCCAGTTCACCCAGAAAGGAACTGTGTTCCTCAATTAGATAAAGGAGGTTTTCCTTCTCAGATCAAAACTGTCTAGTGGCATTCCCAGAAAGTCAGGCCTATGTCTCTCTCTCTACCAACCGCACCGGAAACGGAGGCCTGGCATTTCCCCCAAACTGAAAATGTAAAATGGACCTGACTATAGCACAGCCAAGAAAAATATAATTACCATCATCAATAGCACCAAAACTTACACATTATGTCCTCCGATATCATGCATGACCCAGATCTCAATTTGTGTGACTTTATCCTTCTGCAAGTATGGAATTTCAAAATCTGCAAAAAAACTGAGACAAGGAGGAGTTATTTTTTTCCCCCCTTTGCAGTGCATCCCCAGTGCCCCAGCCCAGAGGAACACTTCTGAAAGTTCTAAGCAGTGGTGGCGAACCTATGATACACGTTCCTCATCGGGCGCCAGAGCCCTCTCTCTTGGCCCAAATCACGCCAGCAGCACCGGACTCTCAGATTTAACTGTGGTGTTGGCACTTTGCAAGAATTAAGTGGGTTTTGAGTTGCAGTTTGGACACTCGGTCTCACCATCGCTGTTCTAAAGCAATATGATGCTTTCCCTTTCTGTTTTTTAGTTGGTTTGCAAACTACTTTTCAAAACAGTTTTCAGGGTTTTTTTTTTCCAAGACACATTTAATTTAATACCAAAGGCCCAAATTCAATGAAGGAACATGTTCCCCCATTAACACCAAAGACAATGCTCCTAACATGTGCCTGGTGAATGGGATGAGGGTTTAATAAAGTTCACTACTGGAAAAAGTAATGCAACGAGTCTCATCACAGCCATACCCTTATTTAACCTAGTCATGAAATGAATGTTTATAATGCTTCGAATGGTTTAAGCCTGAAATGTGACCTCTTCACACTTGTACCATCCTTAGTTAAGATCATAGTTTTTGCAACCATTCAAAGAACAAACCATTGACTAAAACCACACTGATGAGGACCTGAGATTTAGCCAAGTGGTTCTAATGCCTGCCTCACAAGCAGAAAGACCCAAATTCGATCCGCAGTACCAAAAAAAAAGAAAAGAAAACACCTTGATGGGGCGGGGGATGTAGCTCAGTGGCATTGCACCTTCCTGGCAAGTGCAAGGTTCTGAGTTTGATCCCAGGTACCACAAAAAACAAAACAAAACAAAAAAACACATTAACTTAGGTACCATTAAGTAATATAGAGCCCTACACTAAATGGCTAAACATGTACTACTTCACCAACATCTATTATTTCTCTCATGACTATTAAAGGTTTAATTGCAAATAAATATAATTATTATTATTATTATTAGCAAATTATTACCAATTATTAGCAAATAAACTCTTTAAAGGCAAAATTTCCCTCATTTGAATTTTGACTCATTTGAAGTTCACCAAGAATCATGAAGCCCACAGTCTTATTGGCAAACTGATACACGGTGTCTCTAAATCACTGTGCTCGAGGTTAAAGTGATGCGTATTCCATTTTTACATTTAACTGGAATTTTACACGTTCAACTCATGATTTAAAATCTCTAGATTTCCAATCCTCTAAACCATCTGAAGACACAGACTCAGGACTTCTGTTTCTCCCTCTATTTTCTTCAGATAGAAGCATTTCTCAAGTGTCTACATGTTCTAGAAGAGGAGTTTTCAAACATGCCCTCTGATTTGGAATAGTCTGCAGATGCCAGGTCTCCAAAGCAAGGGGAAGAGGGAGAGAAAAAAGCCAAGACACAAGGTTCGTCTGGTAAGTTTTACATTAACCATTCCAAGCTGGACAGGATAAGTCTGGGTGTTTTTGCTCAGAAAGCCTGAGTCTTGGCGTGGAAATAAGCACTTGACTGTCCCACCCTGTACAGCCTGTCAGAGAAGTCCTGACGGAGGAGTTTGATGTGTTTGCCTATCAGGTGAAAACTTCCAGGCACTCAATTCAGTCGGGGCTTATTCCGGTTTGTCTTCAGTCTGTTCCAGTTCACCTATCATTTTTAGGAAAAACCAGTTGATCACTAACTAAATCTGCCAATCTTGATTTCAGCTGGGCCACATCTGGCTGCTGGATTTGCTCAGGGTACTGGCTTTGGGGTGCGCACTGGTCCCTTGGTTTCAGTCCCATCACCGGGATGTTTTCCCTGCGTGCAGACTCTTGCTGTTGTTGCTTCAGCTTCTCTTCAGCCGCCCATAGGCCGGTTACATCATTTAAGATCTGTGCACTCGCCCTCCGGAGCTTGATCATGCGCTTCGTACTCTTTCCATCTTAGAATTTACGCGTCTCCTGCCGTAACTTTGAAGTCTGCTTTGCTGTGGGACCTTTTGGGAAGAGGGTTCTTCATCGTTCATCTTGAATCCGAGGAGTCGCCTCCAGGTGTGGCTGGGCCCCTGGTAGTGGAAGGTAAGGAAGCCTGGAAACAGCTTTACCAGGATGGGGATCTGAGGCAGAAGGGAACAGCTGCAGCCCTCCAGAGAGTCCTGACCCAGTCCCGGAGTCTGGTGGGGCCCCTTAACTTTTATTTTATTCAGGCATCATCAGCTGCTAATGGTTTAAGGGCACAGACGTGGCTCTAATCACCAAGTCCTTCAACTGTTGTGCTTTCCCTGAATTTACAAAGGCAAGCATTACACTGGGGATTAGGACGATGCTCTTTAGCTTCCACTCAAAACAACTAAATAAACATTTGCTCATTCTTACTGTGTTTGTTGGTGCCAGAGTTCTTACCTTTTGGTGGGATAGGCTCCTTTTGGCTCTGAGCCATTCAGCATGACATAGATCATGCCAGAACTATCCCTTGAATACTGTAAGAAGAAAAGATCAGAATCATTTTTAGCAAGCTAAAACATGTCTCTTTCCTGCTATGAAACAAGTTCTTTTTTATCGATGATTCTCAACGTGGGAAAATTTGGTGTTTCACATGGCAAACAGGGAGGCAGACTGGTTTGCACTGCAAGCCAACTGCTTTCAAATGTCAAAAATTCGTAGACTTGGTAATCCCATGTCTTGGCCTCTAAGTATAACATGGTATGTACTGCACAGCACCGCATCTGCTGGAGTAAACTAGGTCAAGCTGCCATAAACAGCCACGATAGCTAAGTGTCTTTAAATAACACTTTCTTTAAGCTCACCCATTGGGGTCTTGCTCAATGTGTTTTCCTTAGGACCCAAGAGGAGAAAGTTTCCACATCTCTAAAGTTGCTCACTGTCAGGGAAGGAAGCAGAAGGTGACAAATCACTGACTGGTTTTCAAAAGCTTCCACCCAGAAGTCACACAGGTCTCTCCCACTTGTATTTCATTGGCTGATGTAAGTTGCATGTAAATAGCAAACCATGGGTGCAGTAGACAAATCAGAAACATTTGGTACAGAGCACTAAGGAGCACCCGTTGTGCATGAAGATGTGTACTGCAGCACTGTTTTTAGTATCAAAATATAGTAACCAGTTTAAAACAACCACATGGTACCTACTTATATGTCTGAAATATTAATCAGTGATTAGCAAAAGTCTACGCAGTATTTACAACAACATTTTAGTATCAAAATATAGTAACCAGTTTAAAACAACCACATGGTACCTACTTATATGTCTGAAATTTAATCAGTGATTAGCAAAAGTCTACGCAGTATTTACAACAGCACAGAAGTGTGTGTCTTCAAAGCAAAATGCAAGATTAGGTGGGCAGAGCATGAGCTCCACTAGTTTAAAAATAAATAAGCAGCATCAGGGATGCGGCTATGTGTATAGCACTTGGCTAGCACTGGCAAGGCCTTGGGCTTCACCCTAGCATCATAAAATAAGCAAATAAATAAGCAAAAGACTAGAAACTCCAAGAAAAAGAGCTCCAGAGAAACTTCCAGTTCAGAATACTAATGGAGCATAACATTTCCCTCATAAAATTTTATACTGGAATAAAGGTAAGGTGAGAGTGAATTATGTGTCACTGAGACACACAGTGCTGGGTTTGCTCTCTAGAAAAGCGACGCCCAATGTTAGCTGCAATGAACCAACCATACAGCCCACGTCATCCATGTCTCATTGCTCCCAAGTGCTACAAAGTCAAATACTCTGATGCAGAGGTTCTGATGATGACTGTGCTAAAGGCACTGCAGGAAGGTGGTAGAAGCAGGTATGATTCTTGCTTCTGCTTTCAGTGTTTTTTTCATTCTCTTTCATGAAAAGCCATTGAATCTTCTCTACTATGCCACACTGTGTCTCTAGTAGGACACATTGTAACCCCAGCACTAGGGAGGCTGAGACAGAGGCACTGCCTGAGTTCGGGACCAGCCTCGCATGCATAGTGAGTTCAAAGCTAGCTTGAATTACATAGCAAGATTCTGTCTCAAAAAAAAAAAAAAAAAGGTAACTTAATATTTAGACTTGAGATGTAGTTCAGCAGTAGAGCTCTCGTCCACTAACATGCATTGGGCTCTTGTTTTAATCCTCAGCACTGAAAAAAATGATGATAATACTAATAACTTAATACTAAATGAATATTTACCTGCTGAAGCTCAAGCCTTCTGCACACACTAGACTATCTTTCTCATCTTCCAACTCCCCAGCATATTCTAAGGCCTCAAAAACTCATAAACTCTGGGCTGGGGATTTAGCTCAGCGGTTCCGCCACCTGCATTGCAAGCGCAAGGACCAGAGTTCAATCCCCGGTACCAAAAAAAAAAAACTTCATAGACTGTGGGCCTGTTATTGGTTTCCCACCACAACAGTGGAAGAAGTATCTGATGTCTGGCAGATCTCCTAAGCAGATCTCCTAAACACATGGCTCCTTCACAGATAATGTGGCTACATCCCCTGGGTTCATGCTGTGACCCCACTTCAGGTGATGACACAGCCACAGCCTCCCAGGCCTCAGCCAGGGGCTCCGCAAGTCCACAGCTGGCTTGGAAGAGGAGCTGCCAGGAGAGCACAGGCCAACCCAATCTCTCCTGCCTGGAAGGGACCCTGCACCGAGCTCCCAGCTGCAGCCATGGTCTAGGGCTTAACTAAAAAAGTCCCTTTACCCTGACTAACAGTGGGCCCAGTGCACATCTAGAAATCACAGTAGAAGATGGCACCAAAGGGACATGATATTCCTGATGGGGGCAGCGCCAGAACTCACCCTGTATCCACCCGCCTCCTGGTCAGTACATTTAACACCGCATACTCTGTAGTTCTTGGCCAGGCGCTGAGCTAGGGACCTAACCCTCTTTGTTTCCAGTCTTTACTCTAACCCTGGTGACCAACACTGTAAACTGCACTCGCCAGCATTTTACAGCTATTGATAACTATCGTCGGTTCTGGTGACAACATTTTCTAGAACACAGATCTACCTTCAGGGGACCATTTCTATGTCTTTGCTTAGCCATAGCCTCCTACTGTCTCCTCTTCCACTAACATGAGCTTGTGAACATTTCTGACCCATATACCCAGAGGTGTCCCAAAGTCTTTCATGACACAGGGACTACCCAACTTTACACAGCAATAAAAATATCACCTGAATTTAAATAGTAATGATACCGTGACATAATGGAAATAATAATGACTATGTCATGTCCTTATCCCTAGGTAACATTTACTGAATTTTTTTTTTCAGTGCCAGACCTTGCATTAATTTACTTTCTTAGCTAGGCATGGTGGTACATGCATATTATTCCAGCTCTCAGGAGGCTGAGGCAGGAGGACTGTTGGCTTGAATTTAATCTCAGCTGTGTAACAGATCCAAAGCCAGTCTGGATTATATAGTGAGACTCTACCTCAAAAAAAAAAAAAAAAAAAAAAAAAAAAAAAAAAAAAAAAAAAAAAAAAAAAAAAAAAAAAAGAAGAAGAAGAAGAAGAAGAAAGAAGATGTATATGGATATTATTTTCTTGAATTCTCTCAGCTTTATGGAGCAGACAGAATATGTTGGGATGTTGCAGAAGTGGAAAGTGAGGCTCAGAGAGGTTCAGCAGTGGCCTGGCGTCCCAGGCTCTGAACCCCTCTTCTGTGCTCATGGGTCACACACCCTCCCGAGGTTTACCTGCATGGAGGCCCTCTTCCAGTAGGAATCCACAGCATTGTTTTCACAGTCTTCTGAGGTAGGGCAGGATTGGTAATCCAGTCCTACGAATCAAGTAGACAACCACATTTCATTTCAAGGACTATGTCGGGAAGAATTAATTTTTAACATTAGCCTGGTTCTAACAAGGTGCACACACTGTCAACCTGCCCCGAGCCTCAGTCTCCCATGAGTGAAAATGAGGGCAGAAAGGCTGGGAACACAGGACTCTGCTGCTGTTTCCTAGCCATCCAGCCTTCCTTGACTTGCTGGGCCTAGCTTCTCCATATGACAGAGGGGGAGTATTCTTCTTTTTATTGGCACATGTTTGCAGCACATAACAATTAAATTACTCCTGGAGAGCTGGAACCTATGCATAACATATCTCAATTCTTTTTTCACCCCTTTCCCCTCCCCTCCCGACTCTCCCTCCATCTCTTGGTCCCCTTCCACACCACCCCCTCGGTCTGTTGCAAGAATGAAATGAGTTAACGTGCATAAAGTGCTTAGACCAGCACCTAGCAAAAGAAAAGTGGTCTCTACCTACTGTCACTATCAATTACTATGTTGGGCCTCAGAATCTGGGGAGAATCAGTGAGATCGATCCAAATCGCAAACGCATGGTAATAGGAACTCTGGCTCTTGTAATGTGTGCAGGAGTCTTACCAGAGGCATTTTCCTGTCGACACCAACTCAAGAAATCTCCAACCCGACCATACAGAACATCACACAGAGACATAAAGCGACGGGAGTTCTCCGAATAGCTAGTAACAAGGAGGTGGTTATTTTCCCAGAACAGGGACTAAAATTAAAATACAAGGTTAAAATCAGAACAGACTACTTAGGCACAATATCAACACGACAAGTCAGGCAACCCATTTCTCACCCAACTCTGGCTTGCTGCGGAATGACTCTCCTATCTTTGTCTTTATTTACCCCTTTGAAGACTGCTGCATCTCTCCTCCCTTTGTTCCAAGGATATCATGTAAATATTTGATTTTTTTTTTTTAACCCAGGATTGAATTTAGGACCTTGTGCTTACAAGGCAGGCAGCAGCGCCACTGAGCTAAATCCCCAGCCCCCGTGTAAATATTAACAAAATATGTTCCTAGTAGTACAAAATGCTTTAGTACATGTAGTAAAATCTTTGAATTTAAAAAGATCATGGAGTTGGGAGCTGTAGTGCACATATCTAACTCCAGCTACTCTGGAGGCTGAAGCAGGGGATTGGAAGCTCAAGGCCAGAAAAGAAAAGAGAGAGAGAGAGACAGAGAGAGAGAGTGAGAAACTTGGGTTGGAATCTTGAAATCCTGGCTCTGTTGTTGGCTACCTGACTACATGTGTGTTCTTGACCAAGGCATGTAAATTCCCTGAGTCTCAGGTCTCCACATTTGGAAAACAGAGAGCATGAGTCATTTTTCCACATCCGCAGCTGTGATTGGGGTGATATGAAACCACAGAGAGCATTTCCTAGAGTGTAAGGTGCCTCCAAAAATAGTACTCATACAGTCACCCTTATGGTTTCCATTATAAACAGTGTCTTCACATAACAGTACCAATCACAATATCCCCTGCTCATTGGCCCATCTGCTGTTCCACCTAGTCATTAGGCTCTACTTAGAGTAGAAGGTCTTCAAGGTGGAGCTGTTTTTTATCATCCTAACCTTAATCCTTAGCACAATCCCTGGCACACAGAAGTAGCCAGGAGGTATTTACAGAGCTCATCGATAAGCCCACAAAATCTATGAGAGAGAAAAGCAAAAAACAATGGATACCTTAAAATCATGTTCATAATCTATTTCACTTAAGACTTCATGATTGCCTTTATAGGTAACACACAACAGAAAAATCAGATTGTGTTGGAGAAATAAAAATGGTATCTGTCTTTAAAGCCAAGGTACTATTCTCCAAGGTACTATTCTAAGCAAGCATTTTACGGAGATTTTCTCATTTATTTTTATTCCATTAGACCTTAGAGTGCAGACAGAATGTAGACCTGTGGTTTTTTTTCCTTAAAGAAACCAGTACTGAATAAATACAATAGTGACACCCATCCGCAGGAGAGATTCCTCTCCTGGAAGAGCAGGGAAGCCGAGGGCTGCCTGAATTATTCAGGTCAGGCGCTGGAACCAGTTAGGCCGGAGCTCACTCCGAAGGGGCTGGATCAGAGGCCCCGTGTGAAAGCCCCGGCCATAACCTGAAGTTCTTGTGGAGATTCCTGTGCTAACTGGCTGATCTGGAAGCTGCCTTGGCACCAGTGAGTTAGGTCAGCGCACGTATTCCAGGCACATTGCTTCGTGTTTCTGTGACACTGCAGGCTGCTGCGGGCACCTGAGCTCACTCCTGGCCTGTGCACCCTCTTATCGGTACACAGAAGGAGGGTGGTGATTTCTCCGAGACGGTTGTAATTACCTTGTCTCTGGGAATGGAGTGCCTCGACAAGTTAACGAAGAGATCATAGTCCGAGGGAAGCACAGAGCAGGGATCCTTGTCCAGCACCACTTTAAAGGCTTCCCAGATGGCTGTGCAGTTCTTGTCCCTGCGCAAAAGTACACATCAAAACAGAACAGAAGACATCACCACAGGCTGTGAAGTACTTCCGTTTCTTGAACGGTTTCACAAGCGATTCTGGCATATGTGGACCGCAGAACTACCACTCACACAGAAGGGACAACTGGTCCAAGTGACGGATTTGGAAATCTGACGTTGGAAGGTGTCCTGTCTCTCACAAGGCTCTGTACAGCTGAGTTAAGAACAGAATTTGGCCCGAAGGTCACAAGACAAGGGGAAAAGGTCACAAACTAGAAGGTGACAATTTAAGTAAACCGCCCAACCACAAGGCACTTTTTCAGTTTCCTTGCTGGGGATTCAGTCCCAGACTTTGTTCTCTGTGTGGAAGTGGGGCCAGGCTTATTAGCCAGGTCTGTCTGGGCTCAAGGCCAGGTGAGGCCAGGGCAGAAGGCAGCAAAACCAAAAGTAAGCACCAGTTGCTGGGAAAGGCTTTGCTCCTGGTGAGGCTGAAAGCACACCCTGCACTGCCAGCTCCCCGTCTTGGGGTCCACATGAGCTTTTAGGAAAACTTTCTAAAGCTTTGGTTATGTTTTCTTCCTATACCGGGTGGGGTAATATCGATGCTCCTTATTATCTGCTCTTTTTTCATTTTCCTGAAGTAAGTCACAGTAAAAACAGCTGGGACAAGAAAAGGATATGATGAAAACAGAAAAAGGTAAAAGCTTCCCCAAGAAGAAAGAAAAATCAGTAAGAAGCACAGTGCCAGTAAGAAAACTGGAGAAGAAAATGGAAAACTTTATAAAGTTGTTTCAGTGATGGGATCTGAAATTCCTGAAGACCTGGACTCTGGGAATTGCAGCTGCGGACTGAATACCGGGGCAAGGGTCCAGCTAAGCACTGGCCGGAGTGGGTGTCCATCTCACCCTCCAGCTCTGGCTTCTAGACTGACACTTTCCACACCACACGCACGCACGCACGCACACGCCCCTCACCTCTGGACCACACAGTGCCCTGGCCTGGAGACCCCAGCCCTTGAGACCCCACCCTCCACACACAGGCACACACCTCTCCTTTCAGGATCTGGGATCACCTAATCCTCCCCTCCCTTAGGACCCCGTTTTGCTCTCCACCTTCGCCACCTCTTACCCTAGTTGGGGGCTCAGCAGCGTGATGTACTCGGCGCAGCGACCCAGGAAGATGCTCTGCAGCCGCGGGCTGGTGCCC